ACAGTGTGCCAAGCTTCTGATGTGGGTTCCCCCAAAGATGCCATCTCTTGCCTTGCTTTCAGCAACAGACACTGAAGTCTGGAAAATGAGGCTCCACCCAGGAGCTCAGGCTCCTCTCAGAAAGAACAGCGGGCAGCACTCCCCGGGCCTTTTGCTTGACCTTGTCCTTGGGCTGGGCCCTGCCCACTAGCGGCTGTGGCTTCACGGGTAGCTGAGAAATCTCAGCCACAGCCTCTCTGTCCCATACCTACAACCGCTCAGATTCAGGTCCTAGACAGTGGGCAGGATTTCTTTCCATCTTGAATCAGTCCTTCTCCACATATATCTGCTACAATCCCCTCTCTCTCTGCAGACCAGATTTCTAGACTTCTCAGCTCATCGAGGGGAAGATGGACACCTCACAGCTCCCAAGTTTACATGTTATACCTTCATCCAGCCACAGAGCCTGACTTCCCATCTCTCACATCTGGTTCCTAATTGCCATGAGAGAAAATCTGATTGACCTGGCTTAGATCAGGTGTTGTTCTATCCACTCAGCTAAACATGCAGTACTATATGGCTCCTAGAGTCCCACTTAGTAGATCAGGGACATTACCCAGAGAGGAGTGAGTGAGTGGCTTATAAGCAGTAAATAAAAGTCCTTTAGCAAGTACAGCTGGAAGGGATGTCCCGGGGTCCAGCAGAGCTCAGAGTGGCAGCTTCCTGTCTGCGGATGAGGTGAATCTTCAGAAGTGGCTGGGGGACCAAGCTCTGGCTAATGGGATGGCTTCCCATTAAGGCTTGCCAGTGCAGGTGGACACTGTTGATGAACAGCATTTCCTGGGCCCTTCCACAGGCACACTCATACCTCAAGGGGCTCAATGCACTTGAGATAGAAGAATGGGGCGGAGGACCCTACTTCTGCTAAGATGAGATTACTGAGACCCCAATGTAATTATTACCCGAGACTTCTCCCTATTCCCCAACCTCCTTAACCAGTGACGGGGACTCGGGGCTTTATGAAATTTAATCCCCATGATGCTACCTAATGTGTACCTAGAAAACTGTTGAGGGGAAGATGCCTTTCAGACCTGCCTTGGGTAGTCTGAATTCTCATGATGCTGTTGGCCCAGGCAGGACCCTGGCTCCTTCTGCCTCAACAGCACTACCCACTCTTCCTCTTCCTAGTGTTGTGACCTTGGGCAAGTTACTCCACCTCTCCAAGCCTCAGATTCGTTATTTATAAGGTGGGGATAAGAATAGTGCCTGCCTGGGGCGCCCGGGTGGCTCAGTCGGTAAAGCGTCCAACTCTTGATCTCAGCTCAGGTCTCGATCTCAGGGTTGTGAGTTCAAGCCTCGCATTGAGTTCCCTGCTGGGTGTGGAGCCTACATAAAACAAACAAACCAAAAAAAATAGTGCCTGCCTAACAGTATTCCTGATTTTCAGGATAGAAACCCCCAGTGTGGTTAGACAAGATAATAAACAAGTACTGCTTAGCACATTGCCTAGCACCCATCATCCCCATCACCACCCCATCACCCCCATCGTTCCATCCTCATTATCCCCATCATCACTGTCACGTCATCATTCCCATCACCCCATCACCCATCATCTACTTCATCCCATCCTTATCATTCCCATCATCCCCATCATCCCATCATCTACATCATCCCATCCTTATCATCCCTGTCATCCCCATCACCGCATCATCCCCATCATCCCATCCTTATCATCCTCATCATCTCCATCACCCCATCATCATCACCATACCATCATTCTCGTCAGCCCATCCTTATCATTATCACCATCAGCATCACACTTACCACCACCATCATCATCATCATCATTTTGTACACCATTTGGGACTGAAGTATTCTACTTGGTTGCCAGCCTACATCTTCCCCAGACCAGACTTCCCATGAGTAGGGTTGCCTGCTGCATCCCTCCTCCCCACCACTGCCCAAGATCCATCCTTGAGAGGAAACAATAAAATGGCCTTCCTGGGGTACATTCCACTCAGCTACATTCTGCTCCCAGCATCATGCTGGGAAAGGTGTCCATGGTTCTGGAGTGGGAACCCCCATGTCAGTCCAAGAAATCCCCTGATTCCTGAGTTCACCAGGTACCACTACCCATTCATTTTGCATTTTGTGGCCCTGAACATTCAAATAACAAGTCTTCTCAAAGCAGGGCCGTGATCAGATTGGTTCCAGTGGCTGAAGATCTTGGCTCCTCTGTGCTGATTCTAGCCTGCTTGGGCCCAGCCACAGTCACCCCAACCGCCACAACCCTCCTCCAGCCCTGCAGGGCTCAGCTGGGGAGGAAGGCTGGCGACCACAACCCTGACTATTCTGAAAGCTGGCCTTGGGGAAAAGTCACAATTATGCTGACCTTCAAGGCCAGGGTCACTCCCCCAGGTTCCAGGGAAGCAGGCCCTGACTTCCCCACTGGGAGCAGCTTGACAGACATAGGCCCTCTGCTCACACAGGAAAGCCAGCTTCCCTTTGTGAATACTTGCGTCTCCATCCCTAATGACAGGCCAGTGCGGTGGGATGCGTGGCTTCACCTCCCTGAGCCTCTGTCTCCTCATCTAAAACGGGGTGGGAATGGTGCCCCTCACAGAGGTGGGAGGAGCGGTGGGTCTCATGGTCAGCAGTTGATAAATGGCAACTGCTCTGAGGTGCCAGTCAGTCAGAACCACCTCAAGTTTACTCCAGTGCAGAGACCAAGGGCCGAGGGCGCCGAGGGGTGGTCCCATCCCAGGAGATCGGGGGCCCTCCAGTCTCACAGACACTGACAAAGCCCGACCAGCGTGAGCTGCAGCAGAGACCCGAAAGGAGTGGTGCCTCTGAGAGGAAGATGTCCCGAAGCCACCCACAGGATAGACCCAGTCCCCGGGGCAGCCTCCCTGCAACCCTGAAAGGCATGGGAGGAGCCTGGGCAGTAGAGTCAGAACAGGGGTCAAATCCTGGCTTACTGGGCTCATGCCTCGGTCAAGTGTCTTCCCATCACTGAGCCTCAGTTTCCCTATTCTGGGGAAGATAATGTGTTTAAATAAAGCTCCAGTGAGATGGTGAGTGTTGCAGCCTTGCACATGTGAGCCCTCACTCACTAGTGATCTCCGCACCCCTGCATTCCCCCCACCAGCCCAGTGCACTGGGGGGCAGCCCACGTGGAGAAAGGCTGCTTAAAAGGCTAGACCGGTTGGAAGATGCTGATTTAAAGCTGTTGACAAGTGTCAGTCATGCAAACATCTGTTGAGTGTGCAGCCATGGACTCTCTCAGAAAGGAGAGAAGGACGGAGGGAAGGTAAAAGTGCCAACCACATCCCCCCAATGGTGGAACTACTGGACAATGAGGACAACCCACTGTCGTTGCACCTTATCCTTGGGCACCAGGGCAAAAGGACAAGAAGAAAGGTGGAGAAGAAGGGACCAGAGGACCCAGCTCTGGAAAGGGAGGCTCCATCTCAGACTCCAGACAGGCGGCAGCTCAGAGCAGGAATCAGATCAAACGAGGAGACGTCCCCTGGGCACAAGGGATGTCATCGCAGAACGGTTTGCTGTCGGACCCCGCCCCGACTCATAAGAAATCTCTGGTAATGGCTGGGGAGGAAACCAACCTGGAGGCAGTCCTTCGTGAGCCCCCCGAGCAGCCTGTGTCAGCACGGGGTTGTACCAGGTTGTGAGGTACTCAGCAGTGTTCCAGTACCGGTGGAAAGCCTGGAGCTTTTCATAAATTACAGATTAGTCATGTCCCACTCACTCACTGCATTGCAAGCCTCTTTCTGAATGGAGGGGAGGGAGGAGGCAGTCCAGCCTGTGAGCTGGGAGTTGGGCATGCCACGGCCTCATCTGCGCCACAGCTCGTGGTGGGGGTGGGGTCAGCCTGTGACCGTCATCTGTCACCCAGGTGTGCTGGGGAAAGCCTGAGATCCGTTACAGCTGAGGATGTACCTGAAGAGGAGGGGCCGATGGGCAGCTGGCCTAGATGGCCATCAGACTCCCACCAGCCCTGAACTTGGGCCTCTGTACAGCAGACCCAAGATGGTCATCAAGAACAGTTCCTTCTCAAGTGGAGGACCGAGGGGAAGGGAGCCATGCGACCCTCCCCTCAGAGGCACCTGAGCTCACTTATGCTATGACGGACCTGCTGCCATGAATGAGCGCGGCCCCCCCCGCCAAGTGTCCAGTGCCGTGGGGCCGCATGCAGCAACCTAGGACTGGCCACAGGGAACCGCAAAGGCAGTCTCGACCTCGTCTGACCTTATAGATTGGGTTATATCCCTGTTTGGCCAAAGGGGCAGGAAAGCACCGGCCCAGGGGGACCGTGCTGCAGGGGTGAGCAGGTGGTTGAGGACCACGTGGACACAGGAAGTCATCCTGCTAAAAGAGGAAGAGGTGAAGAGGAGAGACAGAAAGACGGAAGCCTCCCCCCCAAATAGGTTAAACTTCTTACTCTGGAAGCTGTACCTTTCCCTGCAAAGGCTCCCTGCTGGGGACACCAGGTGGGAGAGAAGCCAGAGGAACAGCCTGCAGGGAGATGGCAGGTACCCAGCGGGGGCCAGCAGAGGAGGCCGTCCGGTGGAGAGGACACGGCAAACAGAGGAATTCAGCTGTGCCCTGGTGAATGGGGACGGTGCACACGCCCCCCTCCCCAACCCAGGCCCAACATGTAAGACTGCCCTCAGTTCTGTGTGCCTTTGTAATTGGATTTACCATGGCCTATTTGGGCTGGACGGCATTTTCTATTAAACATGTCAGCTTCACATTGGGTCAGTGGGTGTGCCCTGATTTTAGTCACCCCCTGACACTGATGGAGGCTCTGGGGGCGTCGTGTTCACTGACCTGGCAGCTCCAGATGTGCCCCAGATGTGTCTGCAATGTGACATAGGGGGTGCAGGAAGAGCTGGGGTTGGAGCCTCCTGAGCTAATGCCCACAGAGTCTGGGATGCCCTTGCTTCCTCCGAGTATCTGGTTGTTCCCAGATGTTGCTAAAATTCACCCCTTTTCCTCTGAAGCAGGGGACGTCTCTATGCCACGCTAGGGCCCAACTGGCGGGTACCAGTTCGGAATTCTCCCAGAACCCGGAGCTGCGTCTACAGGTATTCATTTGTTTGTGTGCTCATTTACTTGACAACTAGCTCTAGGCTGTTTGTCGGATGACAAGAGCGCTGTGCTCGAGGCTGCTGGATGAGCCAGAGTCCAAGAGGCTATTGCCTCAGGAGAGACAGAGACTGAACCGATAATCCCAGATCCCTGATGGTCCCAGAGAGGAGGTGGGGTGTTCTGCTAGGGGAGAGCAGGGAAGGCCTCTCTGGAGAAAGGACTGGAAGAGTGATAGGAATGAACCAAATACAGGGAGGGGAGGTGTAGGGATAATAAGAGCACCTCAAGCCAAAGGGAGGCAGGAAGAGCAGGGTGGCTTGGGGACTAAGAG